ATGGACTTGAGTTGTGCCAGGGGAGGTTTAGATTGGATATTAGGAAAAATTTCTTTACTGAAAGAGTGATCAGGCATTGGAGCAGGCTGCCCAGGGACGTGGCGGAATCACCATCACTGGAGGTGTTCAAAAAATGTGTAGATGTGGCACTTTAGGACATGGTTTAGCAGGCATAGTGGTGATGGGTTGACGGTTGGACTTGATGATCTTAGATGTCTTTTCAAACCTTAACAATTCTATGATTCTATAAAGTTCAATTAACTGTGTGCACTAATACAAGGATAGTATTCTTCTGATCTCCACATCAGACAAGTTCATTCTTCTACGGACTCCAACTCTCTTTTTTTATATTGCAAAAGAGGCCTAGGAGAATATCAGGCCTCAATTTTCACTGCAGACTTGCCTGGTTCGCAGCGCCAGAAGGGAACATCAGATGAGCAGGCAGACCAAAAGACATGATCATTTAATGCCACCTGGAGCCATTCACATCTGCTTGCCCGAAGCCTGTGTCCCAGGAGGACCCTGGACCTTCTTGGAAGGCATCAATAACCAACTACTCAATCTCTTCCTTGGGTTGCTCATCTCAATATTTACCATCAGTAAACACTGTTCAAAAAGTATGCCTGGACTCTAATTTTCTTTATGAGTTTTGTTAATCTTCAACCATAGCTATTCTGTGCCTTGCTCACTAGATTAAAAAGCCCTGCAACAGCTGGCCTTTTTGCCCCCCAGAGACACTCATACACAGAATTAAGATCACTTCTAAAATTTCTTTTGGGTCATCTGTACAACCCCAGTTCTTTACATCCCCTGAAACTTCTTTTCTCCATCCTGAGAAAACGACCTTTGGTGATCTCCTTTTTGATGATTATCAAAATAGCAACACAGTGTTAGATAGTCACCATAACACACTGCATTTATTATTGCCTCCATTACTGGAGCTTTCCTCTGTAATCAAATGTTATCTTAAGAGTTTCAAAGGTAGAAACAGGGCAAAAAGCAATTTCAGCATGCATATGTCATTACTTAAACTCACTGCAACTGTAGCAAAAAGCACCCCTTCCCCAAGCAACAGAGGAAAACAAAGAGGGTATAGTTCCCCAGAATATGATAACTGCTGTATCCTTCTGGAATAGAGCCAGCAAAAGCATTTGCAAGTCTGCGTGCTACAGCTTACTCGGACACTACACTTCTTACAGCGTTGGCTTTGTCTAAAGCACGTTCCCGTGTCTCCAGGCACTTTTGTCAGCATTCACATTATTCTATGTAAAACAAAGACGAAATAATAATAAAAAAACCCCCAACAAAACACGCAGCCACTTGGCCACCCACAACAAGAGCACAGTAACACTGGGTGCTGTGCACTCTGCATTGACTGTACGTGAGATTTGGACACAAGAGCGTGTGCTCCTGCGGCATTTGCTACAGGAATGAACTCTTCTTCCTTTGGTGGTCTTTCACTGCCTGCAGGGACAGCACACAGGATCACCAGTAGGCATGATATATAGAATCATAGAATCACTGAGGTTGGAAAAAACCTCTAAGATCATCAAGTCCAACCGTTGACTCCTACAGGGACCACTTGCATCTAAATCTACAAGAGAAAATGCTCTTCTGAGACACTCAGTGTTCTTTTTTTTGTAAGAGAGTCAGCACATGGCAGATGTGCAATGCTATACCTGGTGCATCGGACAACAAAACAGAGTTAAACGGTTCCTGCACTGAGCAACGCAGATTTATCAGAGAACCCATGGTGTGTACATTAGCCAACGCAGCACAGGTACCATCTTCTGTAAACGGTTTTTGCACTGAGCAACGTAGATTTATTAGAGAACCCACGGTGTGTACGTTAGCCAACGCAGCACAGGTACCATCTTCTGTACCCACACAGTATTCACCTGATGAGGAACATCAGTACATGCATTTAGCTAAATGTACTGTACTACGTAATAGTATATCCATGCTTTGCTGCTGTGGTGAGACCTTTCCTCCCATGTCCCATCACGATGTCCCCACTTCTTGGGAAGCGACAAGCACCAGGAGGGCAGGTGCAAGCACAGGCTGCCATGGGGCTCTATAGGCTTGGGAAGAGTTAGGTTACTCCATGCAAACAGCTGCACACACCTAAGGAAGGTAGGTTTTAACAGCCCAAGCGTGACATGCAGTTCCTTTTCTCTGCTTTCTTCCCTCTCCACAATATCTTTCCTCCGCTATTCCCTTGCTTGAAGAGTCACCTAAATGCTGACCCAGACCTGCTCATTTATCAGCTCCTCATCCCACTTCCAGCTGCCCTGGAGACCTGCTAGATGACCTGCCTTGGGAAGTGCTCTGCTCAAGCTGCCTGCCGTGAGGAAGAAGAGAGCAGGACTTTGAAGCCACCAGCACCGTATTCCTGCTCCAGAGCGGATATCGTGGTGTTACTGTTCCCAAAGACTGAGCCCAGCCTGCTGCGAGCAGAGCATCCCGCAGGGCCCAGCTCTGCCCACTTCGAGATGTGCCCTGCTCTGCTCTTCCCGTGCTGGGTCTCATCTGCCCTGCTTTGGAAAGAAAGACCTCAGGGGAAAAAACAATACCCATGTGCTAAACCTTCAGTGGCCTGGAGAAGACCAGGGCTCAGGAGAAATCAGCAGGAGCGCTCCGGTCTGGGCAAAGTGGCCTTGCCATCTACAGGCCCCCAAGCAAAAACTGTACCTCCAAGGTGTGTACGAACAATTTATGTTCCCAGAAGAGCTTGCTTGCAAATTTTTCCCCATTTTTTTATGACCTCCAATACCAGACTGATCCAAAGCAGAAACACCTTAGCCTATGTCAGGCAAGAATTTGCAAGCCAAGTAGGACCACATCAAAAGGCAC